GCCAACAGGCACATGAAAAGATGCTCCACATCACTAACCATCAGAGAAATGGGATATCACAATGGGATATCACCTCACACCAGTTAGGATGGCCAACATCCAAAGACAAACAACAACAAATGTTGGCAAGGATGTGGAGAAAGGGGAACCCTCCTACACTGCTGGTGGGAATGTAAATTAGTTCAACCATTGTGGAAAGCAGTATGGAGGTCCCTCAAAAAACTCAAAATAGAAATACCATTTGACCCAGGAATTCCACTCCTAGGAATTTACCCTAAGAATGCAGCAGCCCAGTTTGAAAAAGACATATGCACCCCTATGTTTATCACAGCACTATTTACAATAGCCAAGATATGGAAGCAACCTAAGTGTTCATCAGTAGATGAATGGATACAGAAGATGTGGTACTTATACACAATGGAATACTATTCAGCCATAAGAAAGAAACAAGTCCTACCATTTGCAACAACATGGAAGGAGCTAGAGGGTATTATGCTCAGTGAAATAAGTCAGGCAGAGAGACAAATACCAAATGACTTCCCTCATTTGTGGAGTATAACAACGAAGCAAAACTGAAGGAACAAAATAGCAGCAGACTCACAGACTCTAAAAAGGGACTAGTGGTTACCAAAGGGGAGTAGTGGAGTTGAGATCAGGTAAGGCAGGTGGGGAGGGAGGGAGAAGGGGATAGTGGGGTATCATGATTGGTGCACAAGGTGTGTGTGGGGTCACGGGGAAGACAGTGTAGCTCAGAGAAGACAAATTGGGACTCTGTGGCATCTTACTACACTGACGGACAGTGACTGATATGAGGTATGGGGGGGACTCGATAATAAGGGTGAATGTAATAAACACATGGTTTTTCTTGTGAAACCTTCATAAGAGTGTATATCAATGATACCTTAATAAAAAAATGATTTACTGTATGTTCCAGCAGGATTAAAAAATTGTTGGAGTCTAGGTCCTAGAAGGAAATACTAGAATACTAGAAAGAGGTACTAGAGATAACATGAGGAGGTACTAGAAATATAATAGGAAGGTAAAGTCTAAAAATACTTTGCTTGAAATGGAGATTTTAAAGGGGGCGTATTAATTAGTAATGTAAAAATTGAGGATATGCTCATAGCAAATGGGTGCCTGAGGTAGGGTGAAGCCAAGATCACCTGGGGAAGGAATGTCAGGGAACAGAGATACTAAAATCACCAAGACCGATAACAAGAATAGTGATAAAAAGACAGTGACTCCAGTGAATGATGGCCACAGTAAGGGTATAAGTGATAAAGTAGAAGTCTGTGCTTCAAAAAAGTTGCAGTTCAGAGATAAGGGAGAACGAAGTCTGGAAGCAGCAACAAGGAGGACGAAGGAATAAAGAAAACACTTATTCCTCTTATACATTCTGAACATTTACCACAGTTAGGAATGCAAATGAAATAATTCACTTTTAAAAATTAAAAACAAATATTTAAAATGAGGGGAAATTTGGGAGAAAAATAATTAAATATTATCTAAATTAGGCTGAACTTTTTAAACATGAAAATTACAATTAGGGTGGAAAATTTTTAAATGTTATCCTATTAGTGAGTTGTAAAATCAATTTAATGAGTTACAATCAGCTTTTTAAGGAAGTAAATAGAATATAGGATCTTTGGACTTAGCAGTGGTAAGAATTATTCCATAATACTTTGTTTCACTTATATACATTTACATTGTGTGGTAATGAAAAATGTAATTCTTAATGTGGGTAGCAAGCAAAGGGTTTGAATGTCTTTGATTTAGGGTAATTGTAAAACGGACAGAATCACTTTTAAAAGACTATGTAACACCTCCCATATAGATTCTTATTTATTTTAATTTCTAGATTGCTGAGGGATCCTCTTTTTGTCTCTTATCTGGATACAAAAAGTTCAACAGGCTCATGCAGGGCTGAATAATCAATCACAACGGAGCATGTAACTCCTTGCCCAGATCCTGCTACAGGAACTATACCAAAAAAGCTCTTTTTATAACATCATAATTGTTACTGAAAGTGTATTTTGCACCAACAGTACAATTTGTATGAGAACATTAAAAGTCACAGCACAGACTTACTTCACCATCTTTGGCAAGTTTTCTACCACACCTCATGCTATTTCCCTCTAGTTCTTCTTTATTGATTTCTTGAGGCCTAGAAATATACATAAGACATTAAATCTCATAGAAAATAGGCAACTAACAATTGAAAAAGAATTGTTAAGTTAAAAACAACAGACAAACTTGCTAATGGATATAAAAATAAATTTTTGTGGTATAGATAAAAATAAGAATGCATTGATTAAATCTAGTTCATTGCCTTTGCTAAATAAGATTTAAAGTCTTTAATGTTTCATTGATTACCCTGACTTCTAGAATACCTTTATTAGGGCTCAGCCAAACCAGAGAAAAGGGGAAAAAAATCTATGAAGCTCATTAAGAAAATAAAAGTCTAATAAGCAAAATAAAATCTATTATTTAAATGTGACTTGCTGTTGCCTACCATGTGACATTACTGTTTCACATGCATGCCATCGATTATGTAATATAACTATACAAACTCAGTATCCAATAGAGCTATAGAATTTATCAATTAATCTTTACTTGCTCTCCTATTTTAAAAACCTTAACTAAGAGAAATACTATTATTTGAAAGTCGTAATAACAAAATGACATTATTATTAGTTTGGAATTCTGAATGATAAAAGTAATACAATATATTCATTCATATGCTGTATTGAGTGCCTAGACACTGGGGCCACCATCATCATCCTTATATATAGTAACAATATTGAAACAAATACAATAGAAAGTAAGTCACATAAATAAAACTAATAAAACATGTCCTTGACATCCAAGAACTAGTAGGGAACTAGATGTAAGTAATAATTATAATAGTGTGGAGAGAATTGTGATGTTAAGAGCATGAAAAAGGCACAAATTTACTGCCCAGGGCTAAAGGGGAATCATCACAGAGGAAGAATTATTTGTGCCTGAGTGTGAGCTTGTTGGGGTAGAGGTCAGGGATAAATTTTATGCAGGGGAAGGGCATTATTCCAGGTAGAAGGAATAATAGGTCAAAAAAGGACTGTAGCACAAAAGAATACCAAATGCATGAAAGATTTAGTGTAGCTGGAACCTAAGCTGAGCATGAGAGGACATGAAGCAAAAAGCATTTCAAGGGTCCTACAGGCTATGCTAATAAATTTCAACTTTTCTTGTAGACCATAGAGGGTTTTTATTATAAAGCATTTGTTCTGTTAATTAAAAATTTTTTCTTATGAAAAAATCCAAACATTCAAAAAGGAGAGTAAATGGTTAATGAGCCAATTTTTCTTATCATCTAGCTTCAATAATATTGTTTTAGTTTTATTATCAACACATTTCTTCCCACATCTCTCCCAAATGATCATTTTGAGGCTAATCCTCCAGACATCATATCCTTAATCTGTAAACAGTTTAGTATGTACTTCTTAAAGATAAGGACTTTAAAAAATGTTTACATAGTATATATCACATATGCAAAAGAGCAGTAATCCCCTCTATCATGAAATGGACATGACACTATTATATTTCTGCTGCAGAACAATAACCCTTTTGATAATGTGGAAAAGAGTTTGCAAGAGGAGAACTCTTGAGGGACACCTTACTAGATTATAACCCAGTGCCCAGAAAATACACTGTGTTCCTTACTTTTGTAGCCCTGCAACAGTGAGCACATGCTCAATATCTATAGAATAAGATCACTTCAGTGGGGACACAAGAATCAGATACTTCTGAGGGTCAGAAAACCACTTACTCCAGGCTCAGTCTCTTAGGTCAGACTCTGTATTAAACTCAATAAGGATATAGATGAAAAATCTTGGGAAATTAAGAACATAAAACATTTAAAAACTGAAAATAAAAAAGTAGTAAGATGATTTATAAAATATTTCATTTATTATAAAATGCTTCAAATCCTAATTCCATTAAATAACTGTCATTTTTTGGGTTTTATTTTTCCTCTTTCAACCATCTTACTGTATTGTGCAGGATAAGTATGCTGTAAGTATATCTGGAAAAAGATGGAATATAAATTATAAATAAAGCAGAAACTAAGAAACATGGATAATAACCTTGTAATCATTAACATGAGCTTATATATCATGTTCATATACTCACTGTTTGGATATAAACATAACTAGGCCAACTATGTTACAGCTTAGGAGTTCTTTGGTATGTAAAATTGTGTTAGAAGAGATGGGGGCACAAAAAATTGCAACATCTTAAGGCTTCTTCTGTTTACTCACAGATGGATCATCACTTCATTCGAGCTATACCAAAGAGGTAGTATAAAGATCAAATAAAATGCGGAAGAACCTCTGTGAACTGCAAAGCACTATACATTGAAAAAAGATAATAGGTTTCCCCTTAAAATGAAGAATGTACATAAATATTTTATAGGGGGTCATATACTTTTGGCAAAGGCATGTGTAACCAGATGATGTTAATTCATTTTAGACTCAAGATCTCCACCTATTACATTAATCAGAATTGGACAACAGTACCACAAATAAGAAAATCAGCTTTACCTGTATACAGATACTAAAATCATGCTTTATAAAAGCCTTATTACCAGTATTATTTCAGTATGTTGAAAGAAAACCATAATACAACAGTAGGTGACACAAAGTACAGGAATTATTAAATTTTACAAATATAGCATATGATAATTCAAATACTAATTGACCAGAAGGGTAAATATTTATAAGATTGATAATATTATAGAAATATAAGAATAAAAGTTGAATACTGGTCTTTTCTCTCTGTTAACAGCTCTTAATTTATCAATACTCTTACTTGATTTTTCAATATAATGAATGTATTTAAAAATTTATGGAATTTTTTTTTTTAATGAACAATGATATGACATAACATACTTACCCCACTTCACTGTCTTGTTCTGCCCGGAGCATAGCAAGCCACTGCTGTTTATACACAGAAGCGAGCCATTCTAAAATACAAAAATAAATAAATATAATAAGAAAATGGGAGAACAAAAAGTACTTTGCTTTGGATAATCTCTACTTAATTACATATATTTAAGGTAAGATTTAAATCTTTACTTAAAAGTATATTCTTGAATTTGTTTTCTTTGCATAGCTCATATAATTTTCATTTGTGAGAAATGAAAATACTGCTTTACAGTATTTTCAGTTTTTATAATAGTTTTAATAGAAAATGGAATGATTATTATCTAAATTATCTAAAAATAACAACTAATTAATGGCAAATAAACCATCTCTAAATTTTTCATCAGCTGAATTATGCCCACTTGAAATAATTTTGGCACATTGGATTTAGGTAATCATTTTAAAAATAAAAGATTTTAATTTAAGTTATTCTAAATGGAATCAAAATTATAATTAATTTTTCCTTTAATAAGAAGCATATATTTTCACCACAAGTTCATGTAAGCTGAAATTATTTTAGATAAGAACATACTTATTAAACATGTATGTTGAATTGGCTTAGCTCCATATTTGTTTTTCTTCTCTTATTTAGTCCAAACCAAATGAATAGTTTTTCTATATTTAAGTTAATCTCAATCTCTACTTAAATAGGGAAATGCCCAGTGCAATTTAAATGTAGATTTTCACTTTATAAGTCTCTACTTAAAAAAGAGATCCAAATGATTGCACTAATTTATTGGTATCTTTTCTTTAAAAACTCTCTAATAAATATATTTTAAATGTTCCTTTTCCCCAAAATATTCTTGCTATTACAAGGAATAACAAATATCTAGGCCACAATTTATCTTCAGTAAGTAAAGTAAGACTAGTTGCAGTTTATGTAACTCAGTATACATACACACATACTGTGTATTGTCTATTTGTAATGAATTTAGATATTTAAACTCTGTTCTACTGTATTAAAAGAAAAAGCTGATCTCTTTCCAGTAAGATGATTTCTCAACTCACTAATGGTTATGCTTACAGTTTGATTAGAAACAGAATATGGCTTCTCATGATTCATTTATAAAACTGGAATGAAATGGTTATACATATATATATATAGTCTCAAATATCATGTAAATATATCCCATGAAAATTTAAGTTCCAATAACCTTTGACTAATCTCCTTTAAAACAAAAAGCATTTCATCAAGTTAAAAACATGGGTGCATATTTTTGTCCCTCCTTTCTTGCTTTAATTTCAAAGAGTAAGAAGTCAAACCAGAACTCTTTCTGGTCATTGGTAGTTCATTCAGGAATAGCAGCCCCAAAATAAGTCAAAAGAACACTTGGGTTCAACTGTAATGTTGGCAGCTGATATATGAAATGAGTTTGAAAAACATGGGATGAAAATGAGTGAAACAGATTCCTTTATACAGTTTTTAATGTGATTTTTTTAATATATGCAGTTATATCTCCAAAAGGCAGATATAGTAGGCACAGTTTGCCAGAATCCTTTTTGGCAGAATGCTCAGAAGAAAGATTCTGAAACGGTACCTTCAAGAAACTTCCACTCATTGAAAATTAGTTTAAGCAGTTATTTTAAATTACAAGACCAAAGCCAAAAAGGAGAACTCAAAATAGGCACATCAAGGTACCACGGATTAGCAGCTACACATCTAATCTATAGCCATTTTGAATGTAACAGTATTTTCCCAACAGAATAAATAAGTTAGAATGAATTTACTTAAATTATTTCTCTTGTCTTTCTCTTGAGGAAGGGGGCCTCCAAAAACATACTGGGTGAATATGTAATATCTCAGATTTGTAAACTTTAAAAAAACAAACAAAAAGATAAAACATTGGGCTAAGTTAATATTAACTTCAAGTGAAAGAAAAAGGGTAGTTTCAGGTATGGACACACATACAAATTTACTTACAACCAGTAATGCTTATAGCAAAAAGAGCCTACAAGTTGAACTATTATATGAAACATTTAAGTCAGATAGATCATGAAGGTGAAGGACAAAAGTTTACATTAATAAAAAATGCCTATTGTGGATAACATTTTGTACAGAGCATCTAGGTATAAAGTGTTAGTACAAAATTATGGAGAAGTTTGACTAAAAGATAACTCATGTATGACCTAAAAATCTAGTTCCAACAGATGACAAATTTACTGTACTGAATAACCCAAGTCTATTTTCTGAATAAAATCAGTTATGTGGATTTATATATCTCTTCATTTAAAGCAACTTATTTTCATAAAACTCATACTGTTTTTATCATCTCCCTTCAATTTACAAAACAATTAGGTTTCTCCATTACTCCTACAACAGTAATCCCTGATATAAAAAGTTATAATACCACCTATTTTCTCACCCATAATGCAAAATAAGGGACAATATATCTATTTCATTATTTTGTTATCAAAAGCCAAAAAATTAAGCATACTCAAAAGAATGGTGATTCAAAGTTATTGCTCAAGTTTCTATAATTGGATGTTAAGTGTTTAAGAGATTAAAGATATAAGAGATTAAACATCATGGAATTCTTTAAGTAACCAGTAAAATATAGTGAAAATATGGGCTTTAGAACAAGAAAGACTTGGGGTTGAAGAGCTCTGCTTCTCACTAGCTGTTATGACAGGATAGTCATGCTGTACCTCACCTATATGGAGACAAATGCCTTGATAAACATAAAAGATTATGTTACAAAATAAACAAATGCATAATCTGACATTTATAAGACACTGGGACACTGTGAAGAATCTGCACGTTAGAGTAGGCAGTTAGACATAAGCAGGAGAGAGACACCAGCCCATCACCAAGGAAGACTCCTCCCTGACCAACCCCTAGGCCCTCCATAGCTCCCAATTCCATGTTAAGGATGCCTATTGTGAAGAAGCCCAGGACCAAAGGGGCTTTCCTGATTACAGGGCATGTGCAAGGTCCAAAGACCTTGTCCAAGGGTAACCCCATCTCATTAAAAATAATATCTAAATCTAATTAACACTGTGGTGTTGGCTCCACTGTGGGCTTCGCTTAGGTACTTATGGGTAAGGTGCCTAAGCACTGAGGAAAAGGTTATGTAACCTAGAGCTGTCAATCAACCTGTCAATCAAATGACAGAAGATGCAGAGGCAGGACTTCCTACCATCTTAAGAAAAAAAAAAGCCAACCTAACCCTAATAGCAGGGCTACTTCCAGTTTCCAGAGCCCACTCTCCTGCCTCTAGAGTGTACTTTTCACTTTTACTCAATATAATCCTTTGCTGCTTTTGCTTGCTATCTCGTGTCTCAACTGAATTCTTTCCCTCAAGAAGAAAAGAAGACACAACACATTCCACCAGTAACATACATATTTATTTACTTTACCCCTTTTAAATTCTTAGGTTAGGAGCTAGAATCCAAACTTACCTGAGAAATAAATGCACTATGTAAGTTAGTATGTTTTAGAAAACAATTTCAGGCCAATTGAGTGCCTATTACTTGTCCAACGCTGTTCTATGTATGGGAGGAAAAAAGATGAAAAACATATGGCCCTCACAGTCCAACAGGGACACAGATACATTCTGAACTAAAGTGATCCAGCAAGAGATGATAATATCTTAGAAAGGGAATGTCTTGGGCAAAGGAAAGGAGTACTTTTGAGAATTATCTATGAAAAAAAGCTACAGGACTTGGTGAATGGATGTGGAGGAAAGAGTTTAGGAGGAGCGTAGGATGACTTCCAGGATTTGGCCTTTTTTGTAAGGTTGTTTGTTAATAATATCAATGACTGATACTGAGAAGACAGGGAAAAAAGGCAGGAAGGGATTGGGGCTGCAGAGGAAAGTTAATTACTGTTTTAGACAGATGAAATGAAACAACTTATAGAGGGCTAGTCAGCTGGATATCCAAGTATGGAACTCATGGAAGGGGCCAGAACTTGAATCTTTTAATAAGTAATGTGAACAAAGGAGATCACTCTGGTGCATTGTGTGAAAATAATGAAAGAAATCAATGGGCAAAGGCACCCTCTGGAAGTTAAGAGGCAGACAGAGTAAGAGAATCTTAAGAAAGAAAATGAGAAGAAATGATCAGATAGGAAAAGAATCAGGAAAGTATAGCATTTCTAAACAAAGGTAGTACAGTAGAGAATTACAAGAAAAAACTAACAAACTATGACATACAAAATGCTAGAGAAGTTAGAATAAGGCCAAATGAGGCCACTAGATTTTGCAAACAGGACAATCCTAACTTCTGCAGGAAAGTTTCAGTGAGATAGTGGGGGCAAAAGACAGACTGCAGTAGGTTGAGAAATGACAGAAAGGAATGGAGAGAGAGACAGAATCTGTAGACTACTCTGAAGAAGTGGCTTAGAAGGGAGAGAACAGTTGCTGTAGGAGGGATTCTGGGTCAAGGGAGGGTTCTTTGATAAGAGACATTTGACCATATTTTAAAGGCTAAGGGAGAATAAAAGGTGGGGAAAAGTTGAAGACACAGATTAAATGATAAAAGTCCAGAACAAACAGGAACTGATAGGACTATGAACACAAGAGAAGGCTGGCTTGAACAGGGATGAAGTACCTTAACTGTTGGGAGAGGAGAGGATGAACAGACAGGTGAGGAAGACTAGGAATTTGAACAAACTATTGCCTGATTGCCTCAAGTTTATATAAAAAAAAGGAGAGTTCCCATACTGACAGAGGTTATTGCACAGGAAGCTTGGGCAGAGTGGCAAGGGTTTGATGTGACTGCTGAAATGAATGAAAAAGAAGAGTGCCCAAGTAAAAGTTATAGTATAAAGAGTCCCAAGATCCAAGCTTAGTGCTAAGATGTGACTTTGCAGTGGCACCAATGCAAAAGTTGTAGAATATTCTGCAGCAGTACTCAGCATTGAGTGAGGCATTTAGGAACAAGAAAGGTTTAATTTAGCTTCAGGATTTTGCCAAGCAGAGGAAAAGAACTGAAAGCAGTTGTCATGAAAGAGTGACTTGGATGATCTATCATGAAACCCAGGCCTGAACAAGGCAGGAGAGGTTTGAAAGACTGACAAAAAATGGAAGGCTTAAAATGGATTAGAAATCAAGTAACAGCATAAAAGGGAATGAGGCTATGAGCCCATTATAAAGTTATATGTAGCCTGAAAACTACTGGTTGCTGAGAAATTCTGGGTTACAAGGTTCATGGTATTTCCATAGGTAGTGAGTGCCTAATGTTCAGCAAATACAAATGTTACTGGAGTTGAGGTCAAATTACAGGAGGCTAGGGTATTATATGGAATGATCAGATGGACACATTATGCGACTGAACAGGAGTGGAGACGCAGACAGGAAATCAAGTGTTTAAGTCTTAATTAATGTGGACAAATACCTAAGAGTCGGGAGAGAGAGGACAGAGGGTGAGTAGGATCATATGCGATAATGGTTTGAAAAGGGCATTTAGGTAGTGCCGTGACTTTCTGGCCTTCTAGTTCTATACTGGCAGGGTGCCTTAACTATAAGTTAAGAAAGTCCTCTGTAGGGAAAATAGTTATCTTCTGGGAAAGCGGAATAAATGGAGGGAAGAGATGGAAGATATGAGTTTATTGACCTGGTTCCAGAACACATAATAGAAAGGTTTGGGAGGAACAGCAACAAGGTAAGTGAGAGGTATCAAGGAGTGAAGTATGACGACGAGAGTACGGAATAAAATAGATTTAATGATCTGACTTAAGATAACTACAATGCTATGAAATAATGAAGTTCAACCTGCTTGATACAGTTGAATCCTAAAATACAATGCTTCTATACAAAGTCCTGATTTAATTTGGAATTCAACATATTTCTAAAATTTCTGACATTAGGATAGTCAAAATGGTTTCCAACTCCTTAGGATGCATAAGTTTGATGCCACATTTTGCCCCCTCACAAACAGCATAGCACATAATTTTAATTTATATTTGGTTTTTGAAACTAATGTTTATTTGGATATATAGAAAAACCTATTTATTCATTTATATCTTTTAGATGAGGTATTCTAAAATGAAAAAGAGCCGTCTCCTATAACTAAAAAAAACTGTATTTGTATTGTATTTATATATCTGAAAAAATTTTTTATTTTTTATTGAGAAAGAAAGGCTGAAATCTGTTCAGAAATATAGGATCTAAATTCATTTCAATTCTGTACTCAGTAAAAAGTTTCAGACTAGAAACACTTGTACTCATCTTGTATTCCAAAAATATAAAGGTTACCCACTTGCATAACAGACACACCTAAATTAAACTACTTTAGAACTTAAAAAAAGAAAAACACCTCTTTCAAAATTCATTTCTAAAGAGCCTTAGAAAGAAGTACAGTTAGAGTGCAACTGACCTTGGCCTCTAATATTACACCATTGCTAGGGCCTAGTGTATAACACAGACCAAAACTATTACAGAAATGCTATGTTATAGAGAATATAATCTTCAGAGAAATTATGGTCAAAACCCCCCACAACCACATAATTGTGTTAGACACCCCCTCATTTTGGCTCTCCAAAATTAGTACTGTAAAAACAATTTACATAAAATTAACAGAAAAGCAGTGGCTACAAACCTGCTAGTGATTTTATAAAAGTGCATTACATTCAAATATACCAAAAGTATTAGCTCTAGGCTTGCCTTCCATTCAATACCTTTCTGAGTAAGTATCCAATTTCAACAACTTAAATCTGTAAACATACTGCTTTATTAAAAAAAAAAAAATGAAGTGTCAAGAATATTTTTCATACAAATTTATAACTTACTGTTTACAATTTACAAATTTTGAGTAGAAATTCTATTTTCTATTTCTTATATGCATATACAGTACTAAATTGAATCTTATATAAGCACTAAATTTAACTTAGAAAATTAAATCAGTAATTGTTTAAAAAATTATAAATTGTATTCACAAAGATCACATTTGCTTTGACACAAGGTTTAAAACTAGAATAAGTAAATTTAAGGAGTATTAATAGAAAAAGCAGTTATGCCCTTTAAATAATACTTCAAAAGTAATTTTTAAAAGTCTAGTCCAAAACAGTATACTAGTTAATCAAAGAACACCCATATTACAGAAACCTATGTAGCCATTTAAATATCCTGGAGAGTACTTAATTATATGGGAAAATACCTATAATATGTAATGTGAACACATAAAAGTATCCAGATAGTATAAAAATGGCTTTGGTATAAAAATGTAGACCTTGGGATTAAGAATAATTACTATTTATTCCTTTCTATGATATATTTCACTGTTACAATAAAAAAGATTACTTAAAATCACAATTTCATCATGTTCTCTTACCTGAAGGTACTAGAGAATCTTGTTCAATAATTCTTGCAGAGGCCAAATCACTGATAATATACTGTAACCTTAAATGTCTAAATACTGACACAAATGGTTTTCCTTGCTCAGTTTCAAGAAAGGTCATACCTTCAAGATCTATAAAAAACAGTTAAAATTAAATAGGCATTCTTTTCAAATATATTACTTTATTTCTAAATTCAGGTGTGTGGATTAAAAACTCAGGGAGATTTAGAAAAAAGCCCCAGGAAATTAACTTTGGTCCTAGTAGACCTGAGTTAAGAATTCAGTTGTACACTTTCTGGGATTTAAAGCTAATAGTGTAGCAAAGTGGGAAAGGAAGGCTTGAGAACGGTAGTTAGGATTATGGTATCTCTCCAGAATGCCCTCTCCCTGGGACTGAACACTCTGGTGGAGAGCTAGTGCCCAAACGCCTCACTCAAGTGTCTTCACAAGACATACAAGACATGGAACATCTCCTGGGATTCTTCTAACTTATGCTTTAGCTACATGTGATGAACATTAGTTAATGTAGTAGTTCTCTATTAAAATACAAAACAAGACACAAAAACATTGTAGCCAGGGATTTGTAAAAACAGGTGGTATTTAATATTAAAAGAATTCAAGTTTATGAAGTATATGAATTTTTTTCTTTTAGGGAGAATTTAAGGCTATTTCTAAACATAGTTACTGTAAGTTGCATTCCAATGTGCTTTCATCAGTGGAAAGGAAAGGTCTAGAGTTACTGCTATCAAACACAGACTTCTACCTAAGCAACAGCTGCTTTTCTATTAAACAAGGTATACCTTTGGGAGTGGACCAGCCCTGCTGCTATTACGGATAGGAGAAAAAAGTTGAGAGTTGCTATTGTAGACAATTTTGTCTCAAAATACATGCTTCATGGAACACCGATTTGCTGTGAACCACAAAGGAGGTGCTGCCCACTAAAATAATTTTTATCCTGAAAACTGCAAAGAGACAGTCATTTGGATATATAGAAAAACCTATTTATTCATTTATATCTTTTAGATGAGGTATTCTAAAATGAAAAAGAGCCGTCTCCTATAACTAAAAAAAACTGTATTTGTATTGTATTTATATATCTGAAAAAATTTTTTATTTTTTATTGAGAAAAAAAGGCTGAAATCTGTTCAGAAATATAGGATCTAAATTCATTTCAATTCTGTACTCAGTAAAAAGTTTCAGACTAGAAACACTTGTACTCATCTTGTATTCCAAAAATATAAAGGTTACCCACTTGCATAACAGACACACCTAAATTAAACTACTTTAGAACTTAAAAAAAGAAAAACACCTCTTTCAAAATTCATTTCTAAAGAGCCTTAGAAAGAAGTACAGTTAGAGTGCAACTGACCTTGGCCTCTAATATTACACCATTGCTAGGGCCTAGTGTATAACACAGACCAAAACTATTACAGAAATGCTATGTTATAGAGAATATAATCTTCAGAGAAATTATGGTCAAAACCCCCCACAACCACATAATTGTGTTAGACACCCCCTCATTTTGGCTCTCCAAAATTAGTACTGTAAAAACAATTTACATAAAATTAACAGAAAAGCAGTGGCTACAAACCTGCTAGTGATTTTATAAAAGTGCATTACATTCAAATATACCAAAAGTATTAGCTCTAGGCTTGCCTTCCATTCAATACCTTTCTGAGTAAGTATCCAATTTCAACAACTTAAATCTGTAAACATACTGCTTTATTAAAAAAAAAAAAATGAAGTGTCAAGAATATTTTTCATACAAATTTATAACTTACTGTTTACAATTTACAAATTTTGAGTAGAAATTCTATTTTCTATTTCTTATATGCATATACAGTACTAAATTGAATCTTATATAAGCACTAAATTTAACTTAGAAAATTAAATCAGTAATTGTTTAAAAAATTATAAATTGTATTCACAAAGATCACATTTGCTTTGACACAAGGTTTAAAACTAGAATAAGTAAATTTAAGGAGTATTAATAGAAAAAGCAGTTATGCCCTTTAAATAATACTTCAAAAGTAATTTTTAAAAGTCTAGTCCAAAACAGTATACTAGTTAATCAAAGAACACCCATATTACAGAAACCTATGTAGCCATTTAAATATCCTGGAGAGTACTTAATTATATGGGAAAATACCTATAATATGTAATGTGAACACATAAAAGTATCCAGATAGTATAAAAATGGCTTTGGTATAAAAATGTAGACCTTGGGATTAAGAATAATTACTATTTATTCCTTTCTATGATATATTTCACTGTTACAATAAAAAAGATTACTTAAAATCACAATTTCATCATGTTCTCTTACCTGAAGGTACTAGAGAATCTTGTTCAATAATTCTTGCAGAGGCCAAATCACTGATAATATACTGTAACCTTAAATGTCTAAATACTGACACAAATGGTTTTCCTTGCTCAGTTTCAAGAAAGGTCATACCTTCAAGATCTATAAAAAACAGTTAAAATTAAATAGGCATTCTTTTCAAATATATTACTTTATTTCTAAATTCAGGTGTGTGGATTAAAAACTCAGGGAGATTTAGAAAAAAGCCCCAGGAAATTAACTTTGGTCCTAGTAGACCTGAGTTAAGAATTCAGTTGTACACTTTCTGGGATTTAAAGCTAATAGTGTAGCAAAGTGGGAAAGGAAGGCTTGAGAACGGTAGTTAGGATTATGGTATCTCTCCAGAATGCCCTCTCCCTGGGACTGAACACTCTGGTGGAGAGCTAGTGCCCAAACGCCTCACTCAAGTGTCTTCACAAGACATACAAGACATGGAACATCTCCTGGGATTCTTCTAACTTATGCTTTAGCTACATGTGATGAACATTAGTTAATGTAGTAGTTCTCTATTAAAATACAAAACAAGACACAAAAACATTGTAGCCAGGGATTTGTAAAAACAGGTGGTATTTAATATTAAAAGAATTCAAGTTTATGAAGTATATGAATTTTTTTCTTTTAGGGAGAATTTAAGGCTATTTCTAAACATAGTTACTGTAAGTTGCATTCCAATGTGCTTTCATCAGTGGAAAGGAAAGGTCTAGAGTTACTGCTATCAAACACAGACTTCTACCTAAGCAACAGCTGCTTTTCTATTAAACAAGGTATACCTTTGGGAGTGGACCAGCCCTGCTGCTATTACGGATAGGAGAAAAAAGTTGAGAGTTGCTATTGTAGACAATTTTGTCTCAAAATACATGCTTCATGGAACACCGATTTGCTGTGAACCACAAAGGAGGTGCTGCCCACTAAAATAATTTTTATCCTGAAAACTGCAAAGAGACAGTCAAGTTAATGAAAATAATTTTCACAATTTAAAAATTTTTTTCACATATATTTTTTGTTTTCCTTTGGTGATTGCCCATAATGAAATCAAGCAAACAAGAAGGCAATAAGTTCATTTTTAAAAATTAATAGTTTACTTACTTACATAGCAGGCATATAACTGTGGATTTACATGCCTTATCTTTTAAAAATGGTAACATTAGTTCTAGTTCATATGTTGTATTAAATGTGCCCATTTCTGGGGTGTATTGAGCCATTATGTTCTTACAAGTGCTCCACCATAAGAACAAGTTATAAAAATGTAATTCTAGATTGTCTTATAAAAATCTGGAAATAATCCCAGGAAGACTTTTCTTTTAGGAAGTAGAAACATCTACTGTTTCTACTGAGTCCCTTTGTCTTTTTAGTTTCTCTATCCTCCTTATCTCTTTTAGTTTTTCTCTCTTCCTCTTTTTTTTATTAAAAAATTTCCCTCTGTAATTTTCCTAATCCCACTTTAACTGGCTCACTTAATTTTGTAAAAATTCATGGGATTAAGAGTATGTTGTAAAGATTCTAGTTGACCAAAATGTGGCCATGTTAATTTTACCAGCCAAATTCAACAATAATCCTTACATATAATTGTATACAAAAATGTTTAACTTTAATTTTTTTGTAGTCCTGATCCATATATATCTGAAAAGCCAAATAATCAGAAAACCTAATATACCGAAATATAATGGGTGAAGGGACCCTGAGTGCTATTTGTCTTATTTTCTGAATATTTCTCACCTCTATAATTTTAAAATTGTTTGAAATGATAGCTAAAATACTCATTGGAAAACAAGGGCACTGGACAGGTATTTTGCTTTATGCAATAAATGTCTCCCTGCAAAGCTATCTTTAGCTGTGTACTTTTACACTAGGGAAGCTGGATGGAGAGCCTAGAGTGGGGAAACAAGCAGTGGGCCACAGCTTTCAATTCTGGTCTCTGCCACGCAGCTACAGAATAATTTATCTCTTGATGGACTGCTATGGTTAACCCATCTGGAGCTCAAACGAGCATTTAAGTTTATGTTAACATTTACCTAACATCTACTGTTTCTACTGAGTCCCTCTGTCTTTTTAGTTTCTCTGTCCTCCTTATCTCTTTTAGTTTTTATCTCTCTCCCTCTTTTTTTATTTAAAAATTTCCCTCTGTAATTTTCCTAATCCCACTTTAACTGGCACAATGTAGCACTGAAATATAATTTAAAATACAAATTTCGTATTTTGTTCTTTAAGTAAATCAAGTTATATTTTATTGGTATGGTTCTTTATATATTCTTGGCCCATGAGCTTGATAGGAAAATAATTTATCTGGCTCTGACCTAGGAAATCTCACTACATGAAATAATTATACAAAATTTATTTAAATGATACAAAAAGCATTAAAATTTAAAATTAAGAACTTTTAATCATCAAAAGATACCTTTAAGAAAAAGTAAAAAGATAACCTATAAATTGGAAGATAAATGACAAAGTACTGGTTATCAAGAATACAGAGTGCCTATTAAGAAAAGATAAATATATTAAAATAGAAGACCTGAACAGAAGAGAAACATATGGACAATAACTACAGAAAGCCATCCACAGTCTCTTTAAGCTTACAAGGAAATGAATATTAAGACCATAACATGAAATAGTTCAGTAACAACTAAAACAAAATGACACGATGTCCAGTGGTGTGTAGAGCTGGCTCATACTGGCTCACACGAGCTGACCATGTGCATTTCCCAACTCCCATTCAATGATGCTAGCCTGAAATCAGCCATGTTGGGAGAATTGGAACATGGAAATTTAAAAAATGCTACAAATGAGGGATTATTTTTTCAGAGAGCCAGCTTACCAGCATACCACTGTATTATGTAGGTTAAGACATATATGTGTATTGCAATAACATTATTTTTTTTTAAAGCAGGGAGTAATAATCACAAAATCTAAGACAGTGGTGGAAGTAAGTCAGAGGGACACAAAAGGAGAGAGGCACATAAGTAAACTGAAGTCACTGATGTACTAGTACTTGAAGATTAGTTCATGGAGGTTGAATATTATTAAAAACAGACAAAAATGATGGCCATGCAGAGACCAAAAGTCACAGTGAACTAAGAAAATCATGAACTAAGGATTACTATTTATCCACTTCTTTGTCCATAAGGGTTATTAAGTTTTTTTTTCTCTCTTTTAGCAAAGTAAAAAATACATTGCACACTCCACCTTCATCTAGATAAGAAAGACCTTATGGCAGTTGATCTTAACCAGTTTTAGATCACTCTCCCCTGAGAATCCAAAGACAATATGGAAGTTCTACATTTCCCCCAGCCCCAAAATGCATGTAACACACATACACATATAAAATTTTTCATCCATTTTCAAGGGTTACTGACATACTTAAGTTTGTCTATGGGCCCCCCATGTTAAGAGCTGTTGTCTGATAAGACAGGGTTTATTAGGGAAAATTCAGTGAGGTCAAACAAAAGACAAATGCAGTCGCCAACATCTGTTGGTGATAAAATGGGAAAAATAACAGTTTGGGGGAATCGAAGTACAGTGTTAGTTCAAGGAGTAGTAATTCAGTTAACACTAGGCAAGGCATTTTTCTTATCCAGCCTCAATTTTCTCAGTGTAAATGGGGGGCTGCAATAGAACTGTTAAGGTCCTCTCCAGCTCTAAAATTCTCTAGGTTTGTCTATACGTAAGTTAGGGCCTGATTTAATAAATTTCAATTAAAAACTAAAACAAGAAACAAACTCTTAATAAAAATTACAGGCATACCTTTCCTCCTCTTAGAAAACCAGACATCTGTTTCAGTCAAAAGCTGTTTTAAAGATCCATTCCAAGAAGGCACAAGTTTAAGGTACATCCACTAGGTTAAAAAAGCAAGTAAAAAAGTTACAAGATTTCATCATTTTATGATTTTACATTTTCAAATTGCTTCCACCTTAAAACATAGTATTTAAAAGTCTTAATTTCCATTACAAGCAATTGAAAAAGTACACCTATCACATGACATGTGAACAAGCTTTAAATTCATCAAGGTATTAATCATGGCCCAATAATAAGAACAGAATGAGTGTGTGATGAGGAATAAATTAATCCCTGAAAAATATTTACGGTCTCAAACACACTGTAGTCACACTATTAAAAATGTCAAGGCTTAATTTATATTACATTGGAAATCTTACACTAATTTATTCTATTCACCAATTAACTCAATTTCACTACATACTATGTGGGATTATAAAAGTAAGAAATTAAACAAGTGAAAAAGGAATTTCTTATTGTCCTATTGCTGTTGAGTGAGTATGCAGAGACTAGTTAAGGGCACTGACTTTTAAATCCAGGCCTTGATATTTAAAAGCTAGGCAAATTACCTCATTTCTCTGGGCCTTAATTTCTTCATTTGTAAAATGAGCATAATATGTCTACCTTGTAGGACATTAAAAGAATTAGTATGCAAAATATATTTTCAATAGTGCCCACCACATAGTAAGCATTTATTGTTACTGGCATACAAACAGTTGTAATAACAGTAAAGAATGAATGCTACCAGTGGCTCAGAGAGAGAAATGGGCTGTTGACCACTTCTTTAATGATTGGGTAACTCAGTTACTAAACTTCCTTAAAGAAAAATAATAATAAAATGTCATCTCATAAAAATAATTGCAATGATATAACCTAGAAGGTGTCTCATTCCAAGATTTCACAACTTGGTTAAATGCAGACTCCATTGCTGGGGACAAAAGGCTGGAGGCAAAATTATGCAGTGGGAAAAGCAACAAACCAGGACTCATAGGCCTGGGTTCTGTCTCAAGTCTGTCACTTAGTAATTGCAAGAATTCTAAGTCTGACCATCTACAGAACAAGAATGGCTGATTTGTTTCTTCAGAGAGTTGTGAAAATAAAATTATATTTATAATGTTGAAACCTTTCAAAAGAATGATGTGGAAACATCTGTCTGAAATGCAAATAAGGTCTTTAGAATAATTTGTTATTTTCTAGAAAAAGTATATGTGAAAATTTCATCATAAAGTCATGAATCCAACTAAAGATTAACTTAGAAAACATTTTTGAAAATCATACCAAACACTTAATATTTCTGGTTATGTAAACTACGTAACAATAACATGTTGAAAAAAATCTGGGAGAAAACAGAAATGTATTCCTAGGGTAGAAAAGCATAAGAAGAAAATTAAAATCACTCATGATACCAAGTCCCTAAACATAAAGACTTTTCAACATTTTGGCATATTTCCTTTTACTTTTCTTACACTCAAAGCCATTTCCTTATCACTGGACACTAAATGCTTCCAGTTTTTCCCTATGACATGCAATGTTGAACTTATATGCTCACATGTGTCATATTGCGTGAATACCTTTTTAAGAGCTGTGTATACATCCATCTCCACTTGCATCACAAATAAGTTAGATGAACCAATGAGCTGCTTCATGACATTTATACTAGAAAAGATAAAATAGAGGTAGTGAGTTCATATTCATGCAAAGACTAAAAGACCCTAGTGAAGCTGAAACTTTAAAGTTTTTCTATCAAAAGAAAATGTGGAATTAAAATTACATCAGTCTTCTTTCCCAGGTCAAAAAAATCTTAGAAAGCAATCAGTCTGAACACAGGGATACTTTTAATTCAGCTGGTATACTGTCAAAGGTTTTTTTGCATTGGTAGGAAAACAGAGTGTTGATCTGCTAATTAATCAAGTTAAAGCAAGGTCTCAATAAGATAACTTTCTGTATTTTCTGATAAAGTGGCAACCTTCTGCTTTTCTTTCCTCCCCATTCAATGTTTAAAAAAAAAAGACATTTATCAAAATTTATTAAAACATCTACATCTTGAAAATAACCTTTAACCTCCAGGCTTAAGAGAACTGCTTAGTCATAATATTTTTCTTACTCTTAAAGAGTGGATCAAGAAATACGTGTTAGTTTAAATTTAGAGTGGAAATAGTATCACCAGTTGTTTTTCTTTTTTTCCCTTTTTCTTTCCTTATTTAAGCCATAAAAAGCCAGAACAACATCTGGGTTTTTAAGATGACTACTACAATTTATCTTCCTTTTGAAAAAGCTCAATGATAAATTATAAAAGAGAAAATAATTAAAGTATTTCTAATGATTTTCAAACCAAACATACTGCTGAGCTTTGTTTATACCTTGACATTCCTCGGTGATTTTTTTGTAGACTAATGCTTCTCAGACTTTTCTACGAAAGTATCTCTTAAAAGCAGAAGAAAGGAAAGGACTCAGGACTCCAGGAGGTGGTCTAGTCATAAAAGTAACATTTCTATTAAGTCTTATATTTACTTCATCTTTAAAGTTCAAAGAAACTTGAATTCTCTCTATTCCATAACATACTTATATATAAAAATGTTTACACCTCTTTCCCTACCTGCCCAAATCAGTAAAACTGACATTCCAGGAAGCTAGGCATTGTTAATTTAAGTCTTTGGTTTTGTACATTTTCATCTGAATCCCATATACTCCAACTGACATTTGTACCCTTGTCTCCAAAGCACCACTGTCAAGGAAATGCAAACCTGAAAATGACTGTGAAGGTTACTGGCCTTTAGAAGTTCATTCCTGCCCTGAGTTTCTCAGTCCACCAGGACTATGTCAGCTCCCTTACTACAAACAAACCTCTGAGGGCAGAGACTATGACAATCAGCTCTTCATCCTTCACAGGACCAGGGTATCTTAATACACAGTAGACCTTCCAGGTAAGGAATGAATGAATAGTAAGCACATTTAATTCAAAAAGGCTAACTTGATTGTGGATTTAATATCATTAAGACTTAGCAAAAAGTTTAAAACAATTTTCTCAAACTTAATTTCTCAATGGTAAAACTGGTTTTTAGAAGTAAATTTTTACATACTCTAAGAGGCCAGCAAAGGTGAGGTTAACACCTGAGATTTTACTATAGTTTTATAGCAGCAATGAATGTTCCTCGGAAAATTGGCTAAGGCAGTAAACACACACATCGTTTGCAGTCAAAAAGAAATTTGAGCATTTCTTCAGTTCATGGACGTAGTCAAGATACCTTGATACCTTGAACAAGATACCTTGTTCACTTTCTCTTAAGTAATACATTTTTGTTTTATACACAAATATCTTGCATACTTAAAAAAATGAAAAACATTATTTTAGGATGAGTAATTACAAATTTATTTAAAATTCAAATACCTGAGTTCTTTAAAAAGTTCAACATTCTGGTGTGTCATCAAATTGTTTAGAAGCCATTCAAGGCACCTGAAAATAAAAAAATGGAATTATGACACTATATATCATGTATTTATGATTTACTAAGTAGTACCTACAGTTAAAATAAAAACAGAATATTAGTCTTCCTAGGACATGCTAAAATTTTTTAACAACTGGAAATTTAGTATTGTTTTTGTCAGTAGTTAATAAGGGAATATTCTCTTTATATTAATAACAGCATTTCTAATTAAGAAAACCTTATTTCATGTTTGTTAAATGGTTTATGAAAGGGTTGGTATACTTCTATTACCTTCTCTATAATTTGAATATGGATACTGCAATTCTCAAGAGTTAAAAACTGTTAACAGTATCTATTATGTCTACTACTTAGAAAAAATTGAATAGAAAATGAACTGTAAAAAGTAACCATAGTTTTTATAAGCATGTAAATCTCACCCATAGCCACTTACAAAGACAACACTTGTGAGGAAGTTATTAATTAATAAGCCCAAATGTAAAAAGGAACTTTATAAAGTTCTAGTCCCTTTTTTTTTTCTTTCTTAAAACTATACATTCTTTTAAGAAACCAAAACAGCCAAATTCCCAAAAGTGGGATGGGAGGAAAAACAAGAAAGGTAACTCACTTTTTCTTTACAGAATCTAATCCATAGGTCCCTGCTGATGTGTAATAGCCACATACAGTTTTCACATTAATTGTTTCCTTCATTGTCTCACCACACTGCTGTATTAAACCATCCTGTAAATATAAATAAGCACTGGAAAGGCCCATTTCACGTGGGAAAAATTAGCTCTGAATATGTGCTTTTAAGTATTAAAAAGGAAGAAAGAAAACTCATTAAGTGCAGCAAGCCTAAGTTTTTTATAAGGCCAGTAAAAATACTGAAAAAAAATCCAGCAAGTATCCAACTAAATACTTGAAATGGAAAAATAGATGGGAGAGGGCAAAAGCAGTAGGACAGAGATGAATATTGCTATCCTCTTTCTTTTCTATTCTTCCCTCACAGGGATCTTTGCAATATAAGCAGCAGCCTATCTGTTTTGCATGTTCTTTTTCAATTAAGACCTCTTTACATGGTTGACCATGGGATGAGTTAGGCAAGTAAACAATATGAATCATCAGAAAGTGTTCATTAAAGAGTAGAATACCTACAAATATCTAAGAGCTGCACCCAAAACAAATAAATCATTATAAACTTACACTGAAATTGTAATCTAAAGTGTTTATACAGAAGATTTCAAATGAACTAAATTTGTTTAATATATGGAAAGACTGTCACTTCTTACTCAAATTTCTGAAACATATTCATCATGCAAGGATATTATTAAGTTAAACAGTTAGTTAAGTCATAAAGATATAAACCAAAACAGCCAAATTCCCAAAAGTGGGATGGGAGGAAAAACAAGAAAGGTAACTCACTTTTTCTTTACAGAATCTAATCCATAGGTCCCTGCTGATGTGTAATAGCCACATACAGTTTTCACATTAATTGTTTCCTTCATTGTCTCACCACACTGCTGTATTAAACCATCCTGTAAATATAAATAAGCACTGGAAAGGCCCATTTCACGTGGGAAAAATTAGCTCTGAATATGTGCTTTTAAGTATTAAAAAGGAAGAAAGAAAACTCATTAAGTGCAGCAAGCCTAAGTTTTTTATAAGGCCAGTAAAAATACTGAAAAAAAATCCAGCAAGTATCCAACTAAATACTTGAAATGGAAAAATAGATGGGAGAGGGCAAAAGCAGTAGGACAGAGATGAATATTGCTATCCTCTTTCTTTTCTATTCTTCCCTCACAGGGATCTTTGCAATATAAGCAGCAGCCTATCTGTTTTGCATGTTCTTTTTCAATTAAGACCTCTTTACATGGTTGACCATGGGATGAGTTAGGCAAGTAAACAATATGAATCATCAGAAAGTGTTCATTAAAGAGTAGAATACCTACAAATATCTAAGAGCTGCACCCAAAACAAATAAATCATTATAAACTTACACTGAAATTGTAATCTAAAGTGTTTATACAGAAGATTTCAAATGAACTAAATTTGTTTAATATATGGAAAGACTGTCACTTCTTACTCAAATTTCTGAAACATATTCATCATGCAAGGATATTATTAAGTTAAACAGTTAGTTAAGTCATAAAGATAATGCAAAAAAAAAAAATGGATTTAGAACAAAACCAAAGGGCTAAAGTTAGAAAATAAAGCATACTTACTGGAAGTAGGTATTGAAAATATCAAAATATTTAAAAAGTCAAATGACCTCAGCTAAATATATTTAGCAGAGTATTAACTTCAAATAAACCAGTATGCAAATGCCACATAAAAGGAAATTTAACTTTTTTAAAAGGTCAGAATAAAACATTGACTCTATTAGGAATTTAAACTTACTCGGAAGTCATTCTAGACCCCTCCCCTTTCTTCAACATCTCAACTGCTACAAATCCAGTGGATTATCCCTGCTTAACTTCTCTGGTATCCATCCAATCTTTCCCCCTCCATGCTTATTGCTATTACCCTAATTTAGACTCGCACTTGGGATTCCCGCAGTAAGTTTTTATCTCCGAATGTTGTACTCATCTCTTTTCTTCAATCCATCTTTCACATTTTCCTGAAGTATTCTTTCTAAAATATAACTGTCTTTCTCTGATTAAAATCTTCCAAAAGTATTTGTATATAAAGTCTAAACTTCTTAAAAGGTATAGAGGGACTTTCATGATCTGGCCTCTGCCCTCCTCTCTCCAACCCTTCTTATGTTCTATGCTAGAGCATGTTCCATTCAGATCTTCTAATCCTCCACTGTTTCACATCTATGGGTCTCACTTTGCTCTGCATGAAATGCTCTTCCTTTCCACCTTCTTTGCAAGATAAATACAATTTCAGTTTTCAAGGCTTAACCTCAAACATAACTGCCTTCTTTGATACCACCAAGTTGAACTGACCATCCACTCCTGAACTGACCATTTTGAGCAACCACTGAATCCTACAGGACACTTATTATCATACCTATAATACTGGACAACTCTTATTATACTTTTAAGTCTGTATATCAACCCTCCATTCCCTATTCTACACACACATACTGCAAGCTCCTGGAAGGTGAGGACTGTATCTTAATATACCTTTGCATATCCGTGCCTTGTTTGACACACTGCTTAATATACTTCCATTGAATGAACAGATCTATCATTGTACCAATAGATTATATAATTTGTGTGGTTTATACCTATTTTACAATTAAGATAAAGTTTACATTGTAGGCATTCAATGTTTTGAACCTATGAACTAAATGAATTAGTAATCATAAGCCATGTGTTTAGTGACAGTCAAGGTAAGTCAGTAATGAATAGAAATCTGTAAACAGATTTAGACAAGTAAATTTTTTTTATGCACACAAAATTTAAATGATATTACACATATTATCTCATATTATACATATTGTTTACCTTGTTTAATAAAGAGCTCCTTTATTCTATATCCAACATTGTATTTCATTGTATTCACATATTTTAGTATTTTAACCAGTCTCTAATAGCTAATTGGTTAGATTATTCATATTTTTAAATTCTTTTAAACAATGATGAAATTGCACTCTGTTAATATTTCTGCATTAGGGAATTGCAAGTAAGTCAGTGGAGCATGTGGAAGGTGGCAACATAAGACTGGTTGTTCCATTTTTTTCATTTTCTTCCTCTTCACTTGGCTTCTAATTTATGGTTAGGTAGATAAGTAAATTCTTTACCCATTATAGTCATTCTAAGATACTTACACAGAATAGCTTCCATTCATCCTACAGACATCATGAACCCCATAGTTGTAATTAATTGCTTTTGGTTAAGCATTTTAAATGACTTATCACAAATGACATATTTATACATTTAATTTTAATTTTAAAAATTGTAAAAAACTAAGCTTTATTTTTGTCTTTGGATCTTTAAAACAAAGATACAACTATGGTCCTTTCTTTGAATAATACGCATACTTACCAACTGCAGCATACAAGCTGCTGCCAAAATGGCAATAACTTGACTGGGCTTTATTAAGACATCATCTCGATACAGTGAACCAAAGGCAACCTGCAAGGCTGAAAGCAGAAGTACACAGGTAGGCTGAATCAACAATTTTATCTATAGTAGTGTTACAAAGAAACATGACTGTTTTCACACACTAAGACATACGTCTAGGTCTGGTATGTACATAAAAGGATAAGAGAAGTACCACTAATTAAAATGTAAGTAATGGTTATTGACTGATGGTACTAATTTAACAACATTATAAATAGCCATGCATTCTACTAAATTAAGCTGGATTGTTCTAAATCTAATTTTGACATTAGTTCATGGTCAGAATTAAGATACCCTTGTAAAAAAGTTTTATAAAGGTACCATGTGTATACCTCATTAAGTACAACTACACAGACCCAGTGATAACTATAACCCTGGTGCTTTCAGTGCTTCATCACTGGGGCATGTGGAATAGCTTCTGGTCACGTCTATGCAGCCCTCTTGCCCAGCCACAACAGCTACCTAACTGACCATCCTTCTTTCCACTGCCACTCTTGTACATATCCCATGGTTTGCTTTAGAAACATTCTTAACTTTTCTCTTTGCCAAATGGTGAGTAATGGGTATTTTCACTTGGGCTACCAAAGAGGGGAGCAGAAAAAGCACTGGAATAGGAATTAGGAGAACTGTAGTCTGAACTAGGCTTACTCAACTGCTCTGAGACCTAAAATAAGTCCCTTAAATCCTCTGGGCCTCAGATTCCTCATCTAAGAACTCACAGCTCCCAGAAAAGGTCTTCATATATAAGGAATAATCAATGAATATAGTTTACTAGGTTTTCTATGTAACTTAAAAAATGGTCATACTTTTCCTTCCTTCACAATAAAGTCTCTATATCCCAGTCAGATATATTTACAGATGTAAATAAACTGATTGAGAAGGGCCACATGACTAAACAGATTAGGGATAGGCAGATCAGAACTGATAATATTAAGGAGCAAATCAGCCCCTGGGGTGTTGAATGGAGCTTCTTATTGCAGCCTACAAGGTTAGAAGGAAGTATGTATTTTCTACCAAAAGAATAAAAAGGTTATGATTTTAATGATTTTGTGTAATAGTAATTACGGTGGCAATTACCTTCTATATCAATATTCTGGTCAGGAATCTCCAGTTCAATATTATTCATGCTGGATTCTTTCCAAGAACCACTGAACATACTAGAAAAGTAGCCAGACTTTAAAAAAGAAAAAAAGATTATTCAGTACTTTCTGTGTCTTTCAAATTACTTTCCCATTTCTAACTCTAAGCAATTATGCTATCCAAACTAAACTATCATATTCAGGTGAAAAAGAACTGACAAATATGTCTGCAGGAGAAAAGGAATTAAGGTAAGGACACTATTGGGTGTATCAAAATACTTTCAGATTAGTACTAATTTAGTGAAAACTAAACCAGATTCTCATATTATTATCTACACTGAATTTCTATATTACTATTTGAACCTCATTAGCTTTTTACTTAGTTAAAAAATTTCTGAATATATTATATGTATATAATACATATTTTTCCTTCTTGATGACATTCTAAATTCAAGCTTAGAAACTATGTCATATACTTAAGTATTTCTCATAAAAATATGCCAGCACTCAAGGTGGATACATAATAATGCACTGAGAAGAGATAAAAGAAGACTAACTTAAAGAGGCCTTCTAACTGTTGAATGCTTACTGTATCTCAATGGCTATAAAGTGGGCTCCAGACCAGTCCAAGGCAGCCCTAATAGGATGATCACCAAGAGATTAGGGAAAATCTAAGGTTTGGGTCTATCTAATCATAAAACTCCAGAATGGACTTGAATTCTTAGAAAGGTACCAGAATGGATGAAGTCTTTACCTTCTAGAAAGACCTCTCATAATTAAAATTACTTTGGAATGGATCAAATATTAATTTATTTCAAAAATTTTACTGAGTACTTCCTACATATCAGGTACTGTGAATATGGCAGTAAACAAACTGAGTTTCTGTTCTGAGGGGGCTTATATTTTAGAACAGTGGCTTGCACTGTAACCAACCACATTTCTCTTGAGAGAGAAAGCCTTAACAGAGGCAGCCTCATCTTTAAATTCAGCAATCTGCCCTCAGATATTAAAAAGAAAGATAGGGAGCACATCCTCAAGTTGAGATCACTATTCTGATATAGTCTCGGGGCTTCATACTTCAAACCAAAGTAAATCTGTTTTAAAAAACTAATATAAAAACATGACTAAAATGTAAGAGAAAAAATTCCTTTCAAATGTTTCTATTAAAGAATCTTATATTAATACTCTCTTACCAGTAATTACTGTCAAACAGTAAAGAAGAAAAGAGAAACATAGCTAGCCTCCATAGGATAACAACTGAATTGTTTACTTTTCTGTTCCCAGTGCCTAGGACAGTGACTTGAAGAAAGAACAGAAGGATTTGCTGAAGAAATGATTCTAGTAATGGTTACTTTTTTGATGGTGCATTTAATAACATTATAACCATTCATGTATTCTACCAAATTAAGCTAGATTCTTCTAAATCTAATCTCGACATTAGTTCATGGTCAAAATCAAGACACTGTTGGAAAAAGTTTTATAAAATATCCCTCAGTAGACCAATCATTATACAGATCCAACGATAATTACAACCCTGGTGTTTTTGGTACTTCATCTTTTATATTAAAAGATTAAGAGAAAGTATTTGAGCCATTAGAGCAACATTTCCTTTATTTTGAAAGATATGAATCTTTAAAATGGAGGGACAGGTAGTAACATTTTCAGCATATAAATCAAATAGGTGTATCACCTAATTGACTTAGTCTATGTACGGTTTCGGTCTTGTCTTTAACTGTATTTTCTAGAAGGAAGAGTAAGTATCAATAACAAATTCAACAATCTTAACTTTAATGTTAACATTTTTTTCCCTAACTTTTCCCTTTTCAACAGAAAGCACCAAAATAAGCACCTTATTGAAGTAATGACAGAAAGGTATTACTAGGCTGCTATGACAGTGAAAATTCAAAATCTGTTTTCTAGACCAAACTGCGTTTTCACTAATAATGTCTGTCATATTTCTAATAAAACAAGGCTCCTCATCAGATAACAGTACTTCCTTCAACTATTGTCCATGCAAAAGATTACTGTGAAATGCTATGAGAGTGAACATGACTTAAAAGAGAGTTTTTTCAAGTGACCACCTTGGTTACTCAAATTAAAATACTTACTTGACATAAATATATTTTGTGTAGGCTCCACTCTTCTCCCAGAGCACAAATCTTAATGTCACTATTTTCACCATTCAAAAATAATGTCTGATAAATATATTTGGATGTACTCTTTAACTTTTTCCTGTTAAAAGAAATGCAAATGTTAGCATGTAAGATTGAATGTTTTACTGACTGCACATAACTCAAAATAATCCTTTGTTCAGTTTCTATTAAATATAGACAACTTGTCCATTATGTGAAACGATAGAGGATATTATATATTCAAATTTGTTCACATATGAAGAGTACATTAAGAAACTAATAATAGTGGTTATCTCTAAGGTACTCTATTTCCCAGAGAGATAATGGTAGCTAGATGGGGGCAGCAAAGGAGGGAGACCTTTTGCTATATACCTTCTTACATTTTTCTATTTTTGAATTAAGTAAATTATCTAGGCATGTGGTGATTTTTTGCTTATTTCCTCATTTAAAAATCGGTACTATGGAGGATCTCATAATTGCAGTAATACAATATGAAACTACAAAAGGGAGAACAAGAGTAAAAATTTCACCTACCCAAGTTATTTTAAAAATAATTTACATTTAATCTTATTTTAGTACCAACTTATTCTTAAACTAGTTAAAATGTTCTTTTTTTTGTCCATTGGACAAAATGGTTTTCAGCCTTACACCAAAGGTTTTCAAAACTATGCTCAGTGAAGAAGTGTCTTGGGGCCCCCCAGGAGAGCCACAGTGTGAACTCCGGCATCCTACCCAACTTCAACCAGAGCAGTGTCGTATGCTCTATTTACAAACATCTTGGATTTCTGCAAAAAAGAATTTTATTTTTTTAAAGTTTGATAATTATTGCTTAAGATGGTTCAGTAAATAAAAGACAAGATTTAGGCAGCAGCTGATAAATATCTTTTACATTCCTGGTAAATCTTGACAGCTTTCCTAGTAGCTAAAATTTTTAAATCTTTTTAAAGATGAAGCAGTTGTTTCAGATGGTGTCTTGAACCAGTGTATTTAACATTTCTTCCCAAGAGACAGTAAAAATAGCACATGCTTTGGTGGTGGACACACTTGGGTTTGAGTCTCAGCTCCACATCTCAGTTACCCCAGATGTAAAGAGGGTATTAATAGTATCCACTTTATTAGGTTGCTGTGAGAAATAGATGAGACAGTGTAGTTTCTAGTTCCTGACAGCATTCTCCCCAAATTACATAAAAAGATTAAAAGTACAGAAAGGAATAAGCCCACCACAGGAAGAAGGTGGGGGTGAATCTATGACCTGATGAGAGACTTCTCTGGATCTAGAAGTTAGAAATATACTGGAATGGTAAAGAAGCAGTGAAGGCCACAGCTCGAAATACCACGGAGGTTGGATGTATAAAGGCTGAAGTCCATCTGCATTTCAAAACTCCTGGGGTGCTGGGAGGATGAGGTCTCAGAGCAAACAGAAGGCAGAAGTGAGAAAGAAGTGAGGTAGAAAATGGGGAAACTTGTTCCCCTAATGGCCTCCTGCACTCTCTATGAACACAGAATACAAATAAGCAAGTACAGATAACTCAAGCATAAAGATTCCAAGGATTCTAGAAAGAAATAGAACAAATCTGTCAGGAAGATAAAAGACTTTAGTGTAGGTGTTGGTGCCCCCAAACAACCAATCCTCATTCTGGCATTTGAGGAATCTACTCTGCTAAGTTTCCAACCCATTTATCCTAACTCATCGTTCCCAAACTGTGCTGCAAAGCACCTGGAGCGCCACAGCAAATTCAGGAAGGCATGCAGAATATTTTAAATTTGAGAGAAAGACAGCAACATCTTTCAGATACCATGCACTCTACTACTATTGTTTGGACCTAACTATAAAATATTTCTTTAGGACCAGAGATGCCATGAAAAAAGTTAGAGATACTAAGGGCTCTGTGCAGCAAGAAAGTTTGGGAATCTGTTCTAAAACAAAGCATGCCCTACCCATATCCAAATTAGTCTGCCTACTCAAAGGGGAGGCCTAGTAGAAAGAGATCTATTTACTCAATTTAAAACACCCCCCGGCAATTTCTCATTCTTAAATATAAACAGATAACCAAGGATCACCCAACATGAGAGGAAAATTAGGAACATTAAAGACTATTTCAAAAAAGAGAGATACTGGTGTCAGAGGAAACAGAAATCAGGGAAAAGAGAACTTAGAAATACAAAAAACACCAAAGCATTCTAAATTAGTACATCTAGAAATATGAGATTAATATATCTATGAAATAACAGGATGCTATGATAAAGGATTACTCAGAATAAAAAAAAAAGAGTTAGACTAAAAACACAATTGCTGAAATTAAAAAGCTGAGAGAGGCTGAATGAGAAAGTTAAGGAAATTTCTCAGAACAAAAAAAGCAAAAAAGACCAACAAAGTACAATCCAGAAAATCCAAAATCCAATGTAGAGGGGTCCAAGAAAGGGAAAACAAAGGTAAAAGGAGAAAGGAAATTAATGAAATAAAGTTTTCCCAAACTAAACTAAATAAGGATCCGCCAAGTACGAAGACCCACACTTAATATTCTAGTTAAATTCCAAAATACCAAAGAAAAATTCCAAAAGTTTCAGAGAAAAAAAAAAAGTCACCTAAAAAAAGAAAATTAGATCAGCATCATTCTTCTCATCAACACTATAGGCTAAAAGATAATGACATCATATCATCAAAGATATGAAAAGTTATTTTAGACTGAATTTCCATACCCAGACAAAGGTTGAATAAAGTGAGAGACTAAGTTTACATTTAGATAAGTACAAGTTACCTCCTTTTGTATCCTTTCTTAGGAAAATACTTGTGGATGTAGTTCCTTAAAATGAGTGAAAAAGAAAAAAAGTTACAGGCTACAGAAAAGTAGATCCAACGCTAGAGATGCGGTAAGTGCAGACCTGGAGAACAATGGATCCAGGCTGAAACAGGAAGATGGAGGAATTTAGGAGGGAGGTCTTGGATTTAGAGGAGAGGGCCAGTGTGTTTGGACAGACAGAAAAATCTGAAGATATAATGAAGGAATATTATTCTTTTGTCAAAGGTAGGGGTAGTGGGGGAGGCAGTTAGAAACTAGAAAACAGAAAATACCAAAAAAAAGGCATTGTTCCAATAAGATACAAATAAACAGGGCATGACTTTAAGCACTTGATGTAATATAAGAAAATGATTCCATTTTTTTCCCTTTATTTATTATTTTTATTAAGGTATTACTGATATGAAATGATTCCACTTTACTGTGATATTAGAAAATTTCTTCAAGAGAGAAAAAAGGTTGTGACACTGGACCCATGAAGTATGATTTATAATCTTAGCACACTACTTAACTCTGCAATAAACAATACTTACATAGTTGTAACAACAAACACTGTTTACTAGATTCCAATTTTTGGACACGATCTAGGGACATCAAACAGTTAAGTTTTAACAGTCTTGTTAATGTAAAAGTAAACCATGCAGTTGACAGAAGATAAGAATGAGGTGGAAGGTGGGCCTGGAAGCCAAAGCTTCTCAGGGAGTATTGGCTGAGGTGGAGTGCACACCAGGCAACTTGAGGAAGCATATTATTGTCAATATACAAATTCTATGCCTTAATATTTTCTTATATTCTTCATCCATGTTGGGCTGAGTAAACCAGTCCATCTTCCACGATATACCACATACTAAATTCTGATATGCATTTTCTAATAAAGGTTTGCTTTAAAGGCTTCTCCATTCCAGTTCACTCATCTGGGTCAGGAGTTGGCAAACTTTTTAAAGGTCTAGACAGTAACTATTTCAGGTTTGTGGGCCAGACACTCTCCAAGCAAAACAAGTTTTGTCAGTAACTCAGTGGGCAAACTTCTCCACCTTCTAGTGGGCTACTGCTATACCCTCCAACATCTGAATCTCAGCTTGAGAAACGTGGCCCTATTCTAAATTCGTTCCTTCCTTGGGTATACTGTCTCAGCCCTAGAAGTAATGACTGTTCCCTATACCCACTATTCCTGTATTCTTTAGAGATTTTTTAGTAGTTACTTCCCAGGTAGTTGTTAATAATGGTTACATTAAAATTCCCCTATTCAAATTACTTGATTTCTCTCGTTCAAATAGATCCTGACATGCCTATTTCAATGATGACATTAAATGTGAGGGGTCTAAATACTAATGAAAAGGCAGAGATTATCCTATTGATTTTTGTTTTAAAAGCGAGACCCAACTAAACGCTGTCTACAATATAACTACTTTAAATATAAAGACATGGGTGAAAAGGGCAAGGATGTTAAAAGATACAGCTTTTAAAAACTTATCGAAAGAAAGTGGTAGGGGCTCTATTAGCAGAGATAAAGACATTTTGTAATGATAAAGGAGGACAATTTATCAAGGAGATATAATATTTACTGAGTTCCCATACCAGGCACTGAACATTATATGCCTTCTAATTGTCAACCCCCATAAGGCAAGTAGTAGCTCTCCATTTTACTAAGGAGGAAATAAGGTTATTAAGTGCAGAATACAAACTAGAACTCAGAATCTTCAAACTATATACTGACACTGACTCCACAAATACACTGACTCCAGAAACGTTAACTTAGCAATTTGACAACGGGGGTTCATTTTTGTAAATAAATACAAGCACTCATACATAAAACTATATGAAAGATTTTATAAAATCAAACTATTAACAGAGGTTACCTACAAGGCTTTTTTTTAAAAAAGTAACACTTGTGTAGCAAAAACGACTCATCTGTGTGACCCCAATGATGACCTTTAAAAAAAAGAGCAACCAGATTGTTTATATGAAAACATTTTCTACTTATAAACTACATTCCAGTTCACAAGTAAATATCCTGTTTTTCAACTCTGAAAAAAAGTTTAAGCAAGCTGCAGAACAGCCGTACAGACGCATTCACGGCCAATGTTCAAGTACTACAGACTCTGAAAGATGGTTCCTAATAAAGAACAAAAAGGTACGCTACTGATAAAATTCACCTTTATGAGAGCTCCTGTGCACAATCATTTCCCCTACACCGAGTGGACAACAGGGATGCCCATCTCGAGGGAGACTAAATTCACGTGTCTGTACTACTTAAGACAACCGGATGCAAAACAATTTACTCTACTGCCACCCACTCCGGGAGGACAAAGGTGTATTACCGAAGGCCAACCAGTCGGTCGTGTCTAAGGATTAATGAAGCGCAAGCTCCGGCTTGGCGTTGCTCCGTCTCACCTCGAGGTTGTTTACACCACCGCCCTGATAGCGTCTGTGGTTTAAAATCCAGAGCACCAGGCGTTCCGACGGCGCTGCTCACCGCCCCTGCCCCGGGCCGGCCCGCACGTTACCGTCAAGGGCACGTCCGCTCCTCGGAGGCTGGGAAGCGCCGCACCCCCAGGCGCACCCGGCGCCGGCTCGCCCGACGGGCTCCGGCGCGGACGGTGTGGGCGCGTGCCGCACGTACCTCCTAGGGGTGTTGAGGAGCCGCTGCTGCTCGTCCCCTTCCTCCTCATTCTCGTCTGTCTCCGAGTCGGAATGACAGTGGCAAAAGGCCCCGCTGTTCCGCTTGCGCTTGCCGGCGCAGTAACAGAAGCCGTGGCCCGCCGCATCGCGTTCGGTCTCCGGCCTGCGGGCCGAGCCCCCAGCCCCAGAACCCGGCTCCTGCTGGGCTCGGGCTCGTCCCGGGTGGCGCAGCACTCGGCTGCTCAGCGAGCCCATGGGCCACAGCTCCCAGGGACTTCAGGGAGCGCACCTCAGGGAGCCCAGCGAAACCCTTCTCCCGCCATGGCCCTGCCGCCGCCGCCGGCCTGCACTCCACCCGGGTACCTACACAGCCACCTTTCCACAGGCAGACCTGACCGTTGCAGCGGAGGATACAGCCTCCATTCTCCGACCTGCCCGCCGCGCGCGCCGGGACCGCAGGACCTCGCCCCCTCGCTTTCGCGACAAGGCGCGGGCTGGAGAGCGCATGCGTGCGGCGAGCCTCCGGAAAGGACTGGGAGAGGCGGGTGTGCGTGGCGGGTGGAGCATGCGCCCAACGGGATGCGGACTGGAGCGGGAACAAGTGTGCAAGTTGAGGGATTTCGGTGTTCGGCTGGGCTGGGTCTCATTGTAGCTTGAATTTTGGGGTCCACCTACCGTTTAGCGTTACTTCACACACTTCTTTAGAAGTTTAGCAAGACAGGGAATCCAAACTTATTCATTCTTTCTGCAAAGGTTCCTTGAGCTCCAGATTCCTTCTGGGCCCTGTGTTAGGCAAGGGGCAAAAAGACGGCGCTATTTGGGCTCTTTCCTGGAGGTGCTCACCGCTTACTAGGATCACGCCCTAAGAAGGTCGGAGGCATGGCTTCTTTGGGGAGGAGGACCTAAAATGTGGCGTTTGCTAGCCTTTGGGTTTCTTAAGCATCAGCTTTCCTTCTGTCCTCGATGGATTATGGCAAATGTTTCCTGCAGGCTGTTTCTTCCCTTCTCACGACAATGGAACGCTGGAATAGGGTCTGGTACCAGGACTGTCAGTGCTTAAGGTGCCTTATGGAGGCCCAAGCAAAATTTACAGCTGTCTACTTGGAGTATGCAGCCATTGCTATGGACTCTGGACAGCCGGCTGTTACTCCCTGACTCCCTTCTGCTATTTATTAAATATTTGTAATGAAATACAACGAACCACTCCAATAGAGTAGTATGTTAAGTACCTTTGGGCCCACACAAGTATGATTATTTACATTTGAATTATCATACTTCCTTTTATCCATTCTTTTAGGTAGAACAGTACAGATAGGCAGAAGCTATCTCTCCACCTCAGTCTTTCCCTCCACTGTGGTGTACACTGTCCTGAGAATGGTGTTTATCATTATTCCCATGTGTGTTCTTATACCCATAAGCAATATATTTTCTTCTGCACATTTAGGCACTTAATCAAATGGAATCATATTGTACCTATCATTCTGAACCTTTCTCTTCTCCCAAAATTATGCTTTGAGACTTATCCAATTAACAAGTCTGTTAATTTTCATTGCTTATTGTGACTAGCCCACAATTTATCTTTCGAAGGAGTTAGGTTGTTCCTACTTTAATGTTCTTATAGAGAAGCAATGAACACCATGTATAAGAGATTCACCAAATAGACTGCTAAAAGTGGGTATGTTGGGAACTTTTCAATTTTATTGAAGCTACAGCCAAATTTTCTCTGAAATGACCACCCAATTCATACTCCCAACAGCAGAAAATGTAGTTTGGGGGGGTCCCAGTGGACTGTGTCTGACTCAAGCCTGAGAAATGTGAACTAGGAAAGGCTGGCCGAGACAGCTTTGGAAGGGGGTGTTGGCAAGGGGAGGGCCAGAGTATGATGGCTGCAACATCTGTCTGCGTGCTCAGAATTTTGCAGCACAAAAGATGTGTAAGTGTTTCCCATGGTAAATGTGTGGATCATTATAAGACACAGCATGGGGTCATCTTAGATTCTGTCCAGGAGTCTTGGATGGAAGGATGAACAGACTTCAGCACAGAGAACCTGAAGGTATTAAATTCCTAGGGGCTGGAAAAGGAGAATAGCATTTGCCTTGCCCAAGGAACGGAAGAGTAGTTCCCTGGTGATGGGGTTGATAAAGGAACCCAGGAGAATACCCACAAGAATCAGCTTTAAATGCTTGCTAATGGCACACAGTGCTGATCCTCTACCATTACAGCAGTAACAATCAGGTAGGAACTTTCTTGCTCACCTTTATTCTCCTCCCTCCTACTACAACCCTAGCTAGGTTGTGGGAGGAGGAGGGTATGGAAGGTAGGCTAGATGGAGGAAGAAGAGCAGCCCACCAAATCCCTTTTCCCCAAAACCAGCTTCTTGCTGGCAGTGGGCCAGAGGTGAATGAACTCTCAACTGTAGATCAAGTTTGGAATTTTGACTGGACATATTAACTACTGAAATGACACTGTTTATGACCTGAATGCACTGCATGGTAGGACTTCTAAAACCTAAAAGTGACCAGAAAAGTCATGACTCAATCCTCTGTCTGAATTTGCAAGTAAAGACAGAAGAACTAGGCTCATTGAATAAATGAGTGGGCAGTGAGAGAGAAAAACAAAGTTGCCTCTATAAAGCTAGTCAACAAATGCAATTTGTTTAAAAATTCTGGCTAAGTAATGTATAATTTAAAGATGATACCAAAAATTTTGCAATTCTTCCAAAGCCAAATAAAGTTCATTTGAAAATTCCATACTCTTCTAGGTGGGTATCAAAGCAGAAGTTCTATTTCCTGTAATTACCTAGAATGACTATGTAAAAAACTTTCACCAAGAGCTCAAGCTTGTAATAGGCAAGCAGAAAAAAATTGAAAAACAGATCTTTATATTTCGCCCATCAAAAGACAATGGATATTATAGAATGAAGAAGACAAATATTAGTAGAACAGAGAACATTGCTCATTTCCAGATAATAAATTAAATGTTATTTTATAACATTAAGTACTGTTTGGTGTATTTTTAACAGTTTTATGACAGTAAGTGCACATAAGACTAAATATGTTATTTTTTTCCTGATGTTATAGTTCCTAAAAGAAACTGAGTAACAAACACAATTCTTCAAAAATATCTCCTTTCAGGCCCAGGATGAAAAACTTCACAAGTGAAAAAGTCTATCAGAGAAAGAATATATCTCATTTTAAAGACACCATGTTTTATTAAAATTATTTTTCCATGTTGTACACAAACTGAATTTCTGAATTAAATCCAAGTACAACTTCAGAGTAATCCTAGAGTTGAAAGGCATAGGCGAACATAAATTACTGCAAATCAACAAAATTGAAAAATATTAAAAAAATTATTTTTAGTACAAAAAAATTTCCTTTAAGTAAATTCAAAGCATTACAGCATCATCAGAATACTTAGTTTTTCTCCATCTTCAAGCTGGATTAAGATACTAACCATAATATTGTGGAATGTTCAACATTTATGTTTGGTAACCAGACACACATGTATGATCTGTATAACCACACTTAGAATTTAATTTGTTCAGACAAGTTTGTGATTTTAGTGTACTTCAACCTGGACAGAATAAGTGATCTTAACATAAGATGTGATGAAGGAAATCTCCCATGCCAAATTTAATTAAGATCAACTAATGCTGTAGATAAAATCTAAACAAAGGAGGTTAGTGGATGCTTTCAAACTCTGTGTAAAATAGCAAATTGGACTGGTAGTCTTACTAACTAGATGCCCATAATTTTAAACCAAGAAGTTGCTTGAAAAGAGAGTTAGGGAAGAAAAGTGATTTTAGAGCAGTCTTTCAGACTTCCACTTTAATAGTTTTTCACCAAAAGGGAAACATGGAATAATTTAATATATTCCAATTTCTGTGAAATGCAAATGAGAAAGCTGTTAAAAACATGGAGTACATTTTTATTTCTAATTTTAAATCTCCTTGTAGGTTTTATAAGCTTTGAAATGCAAGTACAGTTTTAAAGCATGGTAATAAGTATAGATGAATAATAATAATACAGTCTGTATCATAGGAGGCATCTGTAGGCGTTTAATTGGAAATAAGCATTCTGAGATAATGCTAATAGCAGTGTAGAAAAACGAAGTTAAAAAAATGGAAAGTGTTGGGAATCCTCTTATCTTTCCTGGATTTTATTTTAATCATCTCCTCCACAGAGAATGAGCAGTACCTTCCTGTAGTCTCCAGATGTGTCACCCTGGGGACAAGAAAAGCAAAGTTATAGTCAGATAAGTAGGTTTTAAAATGCAATACACAGCTTGAGGTCTTCTAGGTTAACTTTTCAATCTTGTCTGGAGTTTTCTCAGAGATGTTTTTAAAAAAACATTTATTATTCTTAATTACAAAAATAACACTTGTTCAATGTAGAAAGTAAAGACATAAAAGAACATAAAAATCATGTATAATTACGCCATCTAGGGATTACAATTCTTAACATTTTGGTTTGTGTATATTCTTCCAGACTTTTTTCAATTTATACAGATTCCTATGCGAATTGTAGCATTTTTTTAACTTAATATAGCCTATATCCTTACTTTAATATGTTAAATATTCTTCTATAACATCATTCTTTAGTGGTTACAGGGTATTCCATTGTACACAGGCAAAATAACTTACTTGATTACCCCCTCCCTGTTGGATATTTATGTTGTTTCCAATTTTTCACTATCATAAACACTGCTGCATTAAACAAATCATAGTTAAATTTTTGGACGTTTTCTTGTTCATTTATTCATATTTTTCATAAGATGGGAAATACCATATTAATAATCATGAATTTTCTTAAGCCTTTTAATACGGGTTGCAAAATAGCCTTCTAGAAAGGTGCTATAATTTCTACATATAATTTTTTTATGGTCTAAATAACAGATCAATTTTTGTTAGTGCTTCATTAGCACTAGAAAAGATGGGATCACTATAGGATTCAAAGTTTAATATGTATCTATTAAAATTAATGTTAATGTATCCTTGTTCTTACTTTGCCTCATTGATCTGTCAATGAATAAGGATGTGTTAAAAAGTCTATCCAGTATAGGGTTTCCATCACTGTCTTCATTTGGAGCATCAAGTGTCACATATTTAAATGCAACACAATTTGGTACATAATGTTTCATGAAAATATAACCTGTGTTGAGAATTGTTGCCTTTATCAACATAAAGTGATCTACTTTTACCTATTTAATGCTTTTTCTCTTAAATTCTTTTTACTTAGTGTAATCCCTGCTATTCTTAATCCCAACTCTTCTTTTACGCTTCCTACATGTCACTGTATTTTAGCTGTTCCTTAGCATAGAGTAAGATTTTATATTTTTACCTAAATTGAGAGTTTATTTACTATTATAACTTACATTTTTGTTACTTCTATCATTTCTTCTGTTATTTACATGTTTTATATTTCTGTTTTGCTCCTTTTGACAACTGTTACAGAATGGGTGATGCATCCTTTATTTTCAGTCTTTGCCAGTGTTGTATATATGTGCTTATAGAC